GAAGCAGCACATATCATCAAAATAGTGGCGATCGAAGACAGTAAAAGTTTGACCTGAATGGATCACATTCCCCAAACTGGATCCACGCTGTAGTGATGTGACTTCTCTATGCATTTAGAAGTCATGCCGAGAAGTCAAGTATGGCATACAATCAGCTCATGAAGGTTGGCCTTCAACTGCAGGGTGAACATAGCCCACCTCCTTGGGAGGAGGAATGGGCAGTATCCTGAGGACTTGGTCAGGGCATGAGCTGCCCTGGACTGAAGAGCTGGGATCAGTACCCAGGGATTTACCAGTGAGCACCCAAGAGAGAATCTCCATGGTTTGGCATGAGAGGGAAGTAGTCCTGTCAGGCAGACCTGGTCACTTTGAGACAGGGGGGAACCAAGAACCAGCAGTAAGAGTCCTTCGTCTTTGCAGGATCCAGTGGGGGAACTATAGCAATGGCTTGGCCATCCTGGCCTGGTGGATCTCACCACACACCACAGTGTGTAGCAGAGGGTGCAGTAGTAGCCTCAGCTGTTGTGTAGGATAATTTTTATCTGAAATGGAGGGGAACTGGGCCCTGGTCTGTTCTTTCCTTTCTTTGTCTGGAAGATGAACTCTGCATTTGTTATCCAAAGGTCTGGAAGCAGTCAGTAAAAGCATGCAGGGCAAAATGGTCTTTTCCTACCGACAGCCTGCTCTCATAATTTTTTACCACCTCTTCCAGCCATCGCTGGCACCCTGGTATAAATAGGGCAGGCATGGGCCAGTGCCTTGCTTTATGTTTTTGAGAGCTAAGCACTCCTCTGTGCTGGTCCTAGCCAAGGAGCTGCCGAGAGGAACAGCACAGCATCCTCTGCACTGTCCATGGTGGCATCTCCATGGACTTACCTGCAGCAGGGAAACATCCTACTTCTGAGGTTAAGGTAGCTGGAAGGGGAGCTTATCAGGAAAGTTGCAAAGCATTCTGCATATTTTCTGCCTGGAGTAGAATTACAAGAAATTTCTGAATGTATTTGAGATATGTATATTATAATTAAATGTAAAATTCTAGCAGGTATTATTGAAATACTGTCTAAGTCTTGGGTTCAGCTGAGGTTTGGAGAACATACCAGAAAACAACAACAAAACAATTAAACACAGAAACACCAAGAATCACAGCAGGTAGCAACTTAAAAATAGAGAAAAGTTGATACTAACAGAAGTGAAGCCAAAAATATAAACAGCATTAAAAAAAACCAAAATAAAATAATTTTAATACAGCATAATAAAAAAAGCAAGCCAACCAGCTATATAGATCCTAGTTGTTGGTTGAAATGCTTTGAACGAGACTGTAAAAAATGTAGATTTTATCTTTATTTTGCCTTGTGAACTAATTGCTTCTGAATTAAAAGAAGATATTATCATACTGATGGTACCAAGATAAGACAGAAAGAAGCACATGTGTTCTCCCTGATCACCATCCCATAGTAGTCATTAAAAACAAAGAGGAAAGGAAAGATTTTGCTGTCTATAATAGTGGACCTCATTAACATATCAGCTACTCCTTCTTTGCTTTAATGGAATATCAAACAGGTTGTGCTCCCACTTCCAGTCATTACGCTTGAAGTACCGATTGCTGCATATTAGAGGCCTCCAGCTTCTCTGTGGCACCATCATGAGGAATACCCATAGGTGTCTTTTCTATTTTTGAACAGTTGCATTTGAATGTGCATTAAAAATCTGATTAATTTGTCAACAAACAAAGTTGATTTCTGGGCAGGTTCAAAAATTATACATTTATATAATATTTATACATATAGATCAGAACTTCTCCATATAATATATTAATCATTTAAAGCCACACTTGAATTTTTTTGCGCACTTACTCTCCTGTATGCATTCTTAAAAATTCATATAAATGAAAAGATTAGAGTTTATTTAGATTGACAATGGCTTTCCATTATTTTGGCACAGCAACTATGAAACTGAAGGAAATTGCTACTTATAATTATGGCTGCCCTTAGAAAAATAGAATTTATAAATTGAATTTCTTCACGGATCTATTGTTTTGTATGGACTACACCACTGTTTGCTGTGCAGGCATTTTAGTTCACTTTGAAAGGAAATATATCACCTATTTTGGCTATGAAACAAGAGCTACTTCCCCTTAATAAAAGGGCTTTATGCCTTGTTATGATATTTCTGTTGTTTGTAAAATGAACTAAATGGTACGCTTTATGGTTTCTGTGAGGACACCTCAGCATGGGGTGTCACAGACTTTCCAGGAGTGATGGACACAGATAAATGACTGCTGATGAGAATCATAGGTTGGTGACCCTAAAAATACCTCTTCTTCTAGAGGCACAGTAGTCTCTGTTGGGGAGCCATGGAGTTCAGAACCCTAAAATACCTTAAGCCCTAACTCATGCATCTGTTGAATGCACCAGCAAAAGAAAATTGTAGAAGTGCTTAGGTGGTGTTTTCATTTGGCTTTTATGTGATTGCAGTGTGGCAATTAGTAATTTTAGACAATAAACGAGATGACAACTGCTTAGCAGCAAAAGGCAGAAGGAAAGAACTCATCAGTACTGCCATACTCCCACTCCCATCGTCCCGTTTACATTATCTCAGTCACATACCATAATTGGAAGTTAAGGCAGCAGCTCTTTTTTACACAGCATAAAGATATACAAATAACAAACATTAAATAAGAAATATCACACCATATCAAGATTAACAAAAGTAATAATGCTGACCTTGCTAGTAGTCAAGTCTTTTCAACCGCAAATAATCTTCCATCCTGACAGGGAAGAGCAAGACACCTAATCCTCTAGCATGTTCATGATAGAAGAATTGCCACTCCTTCCCAATTAATCATTACCTGAGACAGTTACCTTATACTCAAAAAGATTATTCTTTAGCCCTTTGCCAGCTAAGACTTCCCTTGTACAGAGAGGAGCCAGATAGAGTTCTCTTAAATTTGGTCCAGCAAAAGCCCTTGCATTTGAGATCTAGCACATCCCATTGGCCCAGGCTTAAATGCCCCTTAAGTGCCTGTGGGGTGCCCTTGCCCCAATATCTTTAAGAAAAATATATATAAATTTTATTGAGGTTTTCTGTTGATCAAAACTGATGTCTATTTGCAGTTTCTGTGAACACACTTTGGGTAGAGCTTTAGCATGGTATAAAGATTAATGACCCTTTGGAGGAGTCCTGCAGATTTCATTTGTATTCTCCACACTACGCTTTCACACTTTCAGAGAGCATTGCTGAACTTCTGAACCAGTTTGTCAACCTTTTTAATTTGACAGTGATTTACATCTCTCTTAATTCATACTGGAATATCTTCAGCTGTAGCTATTTGTTAGTTATTCCACTCAGGAGAGGAAATCCTGGACTCATTGCCATAGCACAAGCTCTCAACACATCCAGATGTAATGGCCTTGAGTAAGAGCACCTGTTTTTTCAGCCCATGTTGGTACCCAAGTGTGTATGTATTAGGTCAGGTGCATTTTATATTCTGTTTCCATTTCTCACATAGACCTAGGTCTCTTAAAATCTTTTTCTTTCTGCCTGAAAGAAGAAACAGGATTGTCCTTCATAGGGAAGCACATATGTACAACCAGATGAGACAGTCAATAGTGTTTATATTCACATGGTTTTTCTTACAAGGACTAGAAAAAAAGTTGGGGGTTCAGTGTTATGCCTAATGAAATTCTTGGCATGAGAAGAAGACCAGGATAAAGGAATCTTGACATGAGGTAGTATAGAATAACCTCTGGGTCCTGGCCACTCCCTCCCCCTGCAGGCTTCTGCAAAAATTAACCCTGTCCTGGCCAGAACCAGGACACTTATCAACATACCTTTTGAGATGATGGAACACTAGAGTGCAGATGCTGTCAGCTGGAGGGTGGTCTCAATATTGCAACTCTTAAACTTACTGAGTACCTCTTATCTCTTCCTTTTTTACATATATTGAAAAAGTAGATCTCCCTCCAAGATCAGATAAGCTGTGTGTAGGGTACCATTACATTCTATTTCTTGAGGCAAGGATGAGCAAGCTCAGCTCCTTTCCAATGCATCTTATGGCCATATAGCTCTAGTTAGTACTTGGTTAAGAGCAGAAAAAAAGCCTTGAGCAAGACAAAATGTATGGAATTTGCCTCAACGGTGCATTAATGTTACTAACTGATTTTTGTTTGTCTGAAACATAGGCAAAGTGATATGGATAATATCTGTCTGTGAAGACTGTAAAAATATACTCTTACCCTCAGCATTGAATGGGAGGGTTCAAGTTCAATTGATTATTCATAGATGAATACAAATGCTTCTCAGTTGCTGCTTCCTAATACACGTTTTCCTTTCCCTTACAATGACACCATACCCTCTCTATCATAATGTATGCCATGTGATGTATATTGTGCTTCTCTGGACCAAAAACATAAAATGATAATTGGAACCTAAATAAACAACTAAGAAATCCAGTTGTTCCATATAGGCAGCTTATTATTTACATTTGTGCCGATACTGAAATAAACTGTGCTATGGACAACATATCCATTTGTTTGTGTTGTCATTTACAATTACTATTTGAGATCAACAGATTGTAATAATTTCTTTTACTACTGTTATATTGATTTCATTTTATATTAATCTTTTTACTGGAAAGTGTGTCTAGCTGTTGCTACAAACAGCTAATTCACCTACAAAAGGTTTGGAATGCAGTACAACCCTCCTCCCAAAAAAGCCCCACCAAAACACAAATTTGTTACATCATCTGCTGCTTTAGGATTAGATAGCCAAACTCTGTCATATCTTTAACATGCTTTCATTCTAAGCAATCTGAAGCTTGTTAGATGATGTGATCTACTACAACATGGACATATTTCAAGAAATTCTACTATTCCTTTAGATATGATTAAGCTCATTCACATTTTTTATCTTTAATCCAGTGTATCTGAATGCATTTTTTTTTCACTTTAAAGGACTATTGGGATATACACTTTCTCTTTCCATGTACTTTGACAGGTGGTAAGAGAACATCTGCAGAGGCCCCAGCTGTGGATGATAAGGATTTTGGCATTTCAGTTTCCATCTATCGGAATTTATGGCACCTAGAGACCTGCAGACGTCCATGAGGTTTGTCCTTAGAAATTAGTGTGTCGTACCAAATATTTCCATGGGCAAGAACTGAGGATACATCTGGTTCAAATAATTTTTTAATGAACTGCAATATTATATGTATATTTAAGGCAAACTACATGTATATCTAGATGCTTTTTTTGGATGTGTAAGTTGCTATTATAAATCTACAACCAAGATCACTAAAGAAAGGTGCTGGCAGAAACAATTGGAGACAATCGACATCTACCTCAAACGCTCTAACCAGGCCTGGCAAGAAGCAACAAAGTCCCACAGGTGAGACACAACTGCTCTTCTGTTGTGGTGCCTCCATTGGAAGTGTCCAGCAGTGATACTGGCCTTGGTATATTCCCCTCTTGTCTCCCTTGCCATATGCTGTCCTGCCATCTCGTTTGTGCTGTACTAGCCCAGCTGCTTTTTCTTGTGGTATGTGAGCTCCCCTTGATGGGAAAAGATAACAGGAAGCTTGTAAGAGGCAAGAGTTGTCTATACTTCCAAGTCTCTATTTTAAGACTGAAAATTATGAATGCAGTTATTTTGTTGTGTTGACATTTTCCCCACAAAAGAAAATAAAATTACTTCTGAGTTTTATATTTTTTCCACTTGAATTTTCACAGCAGTGAAATTTGGGTAGTATTACTATTGAGACTGTCAGGTAAAAATTCATGATGTGGTTCACAAAAATTATATGGGAACTGAGAATAAGGCAAAGAGCTCTGGTTTGGATAAAGGCATTATCCTTTTAAAGTACTAGTTTTCATTCTTTGAAGGAAGTTGCTTTGTTTTAACATTCTTTAAAAGTGCAGAATTTGTTGAAACTGCTTTCTATGTACTCTATTGTTTGTTATACTTATCTAGAATAAGAGTTGTTTAGTATTTGACTAAGTTTCTGTGACAGTTAGGCTTACTAGCACTATTTATAATTCTACAAATTGTAACAGAAAAGTAAATTTTCATGAAATACACATTGCTTTCTTGGACTGCAATTATTTTATTCAATTGATTGTCTAAGTGGAAATTATAAATGTTCCCACAGATCTTTTTGTTTAGTTGCTGGAGGAGCCTTGTACATAAAAGCTTATTTGCATTACTTTTGTATTCTTATATTTTAGAAGAATTCAGTCTTTAAACACTTATCCCTCAAAAAGAACAAAATTGACAAAAGCATTAGTTGCTTCATGTGATATATGTATATCAAAACCATAAACGTATATTAAGTTGCTTACACTTAACAGTTTATGCCTTAGCAAACTTTGCAGGAAATTGAGAACAAAGAAGACTGGAAGTTTGTTTTTGTTTTAAACATTATTGTCTTTTGTATTAATATTAATCAAGCAGTGCACAAAATCAACAACAATTTGAATTAAGAACTTGGATATTAGAATAAAATCTCTGTAAGGACCTTTTTCATGAATAGGAATTTAAAGGCGTTTCTTAGTAGGCAAAGAATAACAGAGTTGTTGCTTGGTTGTTGATGGGGGGTTTTTTAAATGTATTTTTAATTTATTAGAAAAAGAATCCTAGTTTCAGAGAGACTGCAAAAAGCATTAATACTTATCACTAGGAACTCTGGATTGTTTTGAAATTCAAACATCAAACCAAAAATACTCATCAGTTAAGAAAGTTTCTTTGTATACTTTCAGGGAGAGGTGAAAGGTACATCCTCAAGCAGAAAAAAATTAGGGCTTACAATAGATCAAATCGTTATTGCTCTAATTTTAACACATTGCATCAGCAAAAGACAAAAAAATATTTACAGTGTTAAAAATGATGACGATACCATAAAAAAAGGTAGAATTTTGAGCAAATATTTGTTACCTGGTCTAACAGGTAGACACCCCAGCCTGCCTATTGTTAGCAAGGAGATCCCTACAATGTATCCTTCTTTAAGCTCCTCCCCATTTTTCCCACTAGCCCTATAAATATTTTTTTTTTAAGTGTGGATTATCAGCCCACAAATATAAGGAGGTATGTAGAATAAATTTGCACAAAATGTTACCTTAAGGCCTCCTGGGTTGGAGTGGGTACTGAATCCAATTTCCATAGTCTGGGTGAATGCTCCGCTTGCCAGATATAAAAAAAAGGTCTATAACCTGTAATTTTTCTTAAATGTGACTTCTTTTTTTTTGACTGTGTTTAAAATGGATATAGCTGTATTTTTGGTTGCCAAATCCGGTCTATAGAGGGGCCCCGAGACTGCAGCTGGTCAACCATGTGACATGGGCAGAGAAGCAGATAGTTTCATAGTGTTGCTCAAGCATGAACATAAACAAGCAGAGGAGCAGAAAAGTCCCTCCTGCCTGGAGAATCAGCAGAAGTAAGACCCTCTGCTCCTCAAAATTCTCTAGGTCAAAGACTGAGGCATCTACAAAATTTCATTGCTTCAGGAATGAGGGACAGCAGAGCAGAAGTTTTGGGGTTGCAGCTTGGCTTGCCATCTGCCTGGCACTTCCTCCCATCCTCCTGGTGTGCATGACCCAGACCAGCAAACTTTATGTCTCTTGAACTAATCCTGTTGCACCAACTAGTTTGCACTATGACTGCTGTAGCCAACAGAGAAGCCAGTGCCCCTCTATTGAATGGGAACAATGATTTTATTTTCCCTTCTAGATGTTTTGAAATACGCAGATGACAGTCTCGCACAGGAAGTAAGTTCCCATTTTAAAACAAGCCTGCGATATTGTTTGCCGGCAATGAAACAAAGGTTACATGTTTCAAAAGTTTGCACAGTAAGTACTTACAAGCTGCACATTGTTTTTCATTACCAATGATTTGTTTTCTTGCAGAACAACTTCTTTTAAAATATTAAACACAGCCAAAGTGACTAATGCATTTTTTTAATCTAAGAACTGCTCGATTAAATATTTACAAGGCACGCAATTTTGATTTCTGCCGACAATAGTCAAAACTTGTGTATAAAGATTAATTACTTATAAAGTAAAACACATATTTTAAAAACTGACATTAAAATTGCATCTGCACTGTATGACGGATTTTATTTTACTCTCTTTAAGCGAAGGACTTCTGGTGGACTTTTAGTAAAGTTTTAGACTGCTGATGGAAATGGGTTATCTGAATTGACTAGTGCTTGAACAAGCTGAAACCAAGAAGCAAACTCTTGGTTCTGATACATTCATTATACCCTATGGCTACCCAATTTAACAATATAAAAATATGCAGAATTTTTAATTACACTGTATTATTGTGAATTATAATCTTACATCAAAATTACATACATATTTCAGCTATAATTAACCAACTTTGTAAAAGTTATCTCTAAAAATAGGGTTTTTTTAACTGTACATTTTGTACTGACTCAACATGACTGAGATTTCTAATGACAGAAAAATAAATATTTCTTTTACTATACCAAGACTGCCCTCTAGAGTCTCATTGGGCCAAATTAATCGCTGGTGTAACCTCTCCAGATTATCTTTGAAATGTACATATCTTTACAGGCCTCATTATGCAGTGCTGCAATTTGAGTGATACAATACTTGCTTGAAAAACCTGGTAATAAAATTTCAAGACAAAGATGGGAATATTTTTTCACTTACTATGAGCTCTGACAACTCATTGCAACAAAATGCTTGTAGCCTCTTTGCTGCAGACATTTCACACTCCAATTGAGTCATAAAATATTAGAAAAATTATGAAAAAGAGACTAGTTTATATCTTTTCCTAAAAACACATGAGACGTGTATGTCTATAAAGGATGACAGAGGGATTGTATGCATGGTAACTGAATTAGGCTCATACTTGTTCTTTCTTTACAAGTCTTAAAAGGCAGCACTTCTCCCCTCTGAGGGTTGGATTAAGCTTCCACTGGAGCCAATGGCAAACCTTAAGTAATCAAGGAAACAGAATTATTGCACTGATTGCCAGAAGCGTTTGTATTCAGTTGTTAAATTAATAATGGCTATCTGGTTCAATAAACAGTTGTGTTTCCCATTAAATTGTAGCTGCAGTGCTGCTTCTTATTACTTACCAATATATTATGCAGAAAAGACAGGGGAAAGAGTACAAATGAAAAGTAAACAGACCCACATAATATGGTTTTAAAATATATGATGCAAAGAAACAAACTTTTAGAGCACACTTCCAGCCATATGCCACCTCCTATTACTGAGAGGCTCATTTTTGGATAAAAGAATATAATTCTGAATTACAACTCTGTAATTTAAATCAAAGAACACAATATATGATTTTCTTTTTCTTCCCTCGAAGAACTGAATTTTCACTTTTTTCCCCTGTTTTCCTGCTCCAAGTAGGACTGGCATATTCAAATTACTTTGCATTTTTATGTATTCTGAGGCAAATCTGGGATAACTAGCCCCATCAAGGTAACTGAAATTTGCTTGACTTAGATAAAGCCAAAAGGATTTGGCCCTACATTGATATTCACTGGAATCTGTAGTCATTCAGTAAAGTTTTTCTTTATTCTCCTCATTCTATAGGAAGTAACAAAAAAATAAATCTGGATCACAATAAATGGCACTGAACTAGTAATTTTTTTTTTTTTTTAACTATAGCTTTGTTGAGAATAAATCTGAGTTATTTCATAATTCTGCATTATATGGTCCCAAGTTCTAGTAATGTAACTGCATCTGTATTTCTCTTACTAGGGAGATCCAAGACCATACTCTTGTGAGGATCTGTGGAGTTATTCTTGATCATTGTGACTGCCACATGAAGAGTTACAGCCGATTGTTTTGGACATCTAGGACCAGTTTCACATACTGAGGGTAAAGCATGAAGAAGAAAAAACTACACACAGAGAATACACAAGTCTTTACTTTGCAGGCAACCTGGGAAATATTTCTGTAGTATAACAATGCAAAAACTTACAAACATTATGCTGTACAGCATAGACCTAAATTGACAAAAACACCTATCAACTAAACTTTTTGTTTCATCTAAAAGAAATTATTGGAGTTTAATCCGAAAGCCACTGCAGTCAGTGGAAGTCTTTCCATTGAGATGAGCTGGCTTCTTACTCATCCCTTCTTATCCTCTGTATACTTGAGATGGCAGGAATCAATTTAGACCATCTCCTAAACACATCTACACAATCTAATGATCACAGGACACTGGATGAAGAATACAAAAGCCTCAGACATTTCTCTACTGTTTCAGGAAACCACTGTTGATATCACTTTCTTCACTATTTCCCTCGGCAATAATGGAAAATTATTCTTCATTTCTCATTATCTCTTTTACATTGTAATAGGTTTCCTATTATTCTTTATATTTGGATCCTGGTTTTCTGTCTATGCCTTGGAAATACTCGCAGTCATTCCCAACATCAAGATATGGTTCTGTCTTTTAGGGAGTATTGATTTTTTTAAATCCTCTAATTTTGTTGCCTTCAGGCTGATATTTTTCACTATTAGACCACTTTTTCACTAAAACAGAAACAGAGATAAAAGAAGCATTTTAAGGAAAAAAAGCATACTACTGATTTATCTGAAAGTCACATAAAACATTTTTCCTCACCTAGCCCTATTACAACCATGATTTCAGAAATAATGGATAATTCATTGGATTTGGGTGCTAAACAAAAGAGTTGTTATACTTGCGCTGTTTAGAAAGATAAGAGGCATTTTATATAACCACCTGCTATAATACATGCATGAAGGATGAGAACTAGAGCTTTGCACTCGACTGAAGAGCATTGTAACCATTAGCCTACAATTTACTTCAAGGCACCACTTTCAAAGTGTCCCCAGTTGGAGCTGTTCCACTTTGTCTGAAACCACTATGATAAAGAGCGAGCTTGTGAGAATGAATCCACTGCTTGGTACTGATGTTGCTTTTCTGCATAGTGGATCTATATACAGTGTTTATAACATTCTCCTTTCCCTCAAAAAATGTATGATTATGCTAGAGAAGGAAATGCTGGAAAGAGAATAAATCCGGAATTTGTCCTTTCTCCTTTTTCCAAATACTTCTTCTCTTAGTGATTAGAGTAGTTGTTAAGACTTAGATTTGTCTGTACTGCCCACAGCAAGAGGAGAGAATTGTTCCAAAGTGAACAACTGAACCACTGCAGCAGATGGGTCCATAGACCCTTTCTGGTGCTGATGCAGAACTGAGAGCATGTGTCTGTGCTGTCTCTTGCACTGGCATTAATGCAAACAAGTAAACATCCAGGTCCAAATGAAGCCTCACAAAACAAGTGATTAAGTTTTGGGCAGATCAGCTTGCATAAAAGGATCACCTCTGCACATACAAAGGACTGGAAGGGAATGCATGGCACATGTTTGAGGTGGAGGGAGGTACAGTAGCTCTGAGAGATGGTAGCTCTAGTGGATATTGCCTGAAAATATTTTGAGCAGAATCAATAGCCTGTGTTTGATATAAGAGGAGATCTAGTTCCTGGTCTTCTTCTTCTTCAGAATATTTTCCCATATACAAGTTTTCTAATCCCGTATTTTATAACTAAGGCATTTGCCTCTGAAAGTCCTGGCTACTCCAATGTCTTCAAAGACACACTTAGACTACATTAACAATATAACCAGAAAGTTCAGGTAGAAATTAAACTACAAATGTGGTACCTGTGAAGAAATAGCACCAAAAAAGTTTACAAATGGGAAAATCACACATTTCTCCATGTTCTAATTACTTCCCCATACTCTTTTCAAGATGGGAGCAAATCATTCCAAGCGCAATCACTCAACACCTACAGGATGGACAAGGAATTAGAACCAGCCAGCACGGGTTTAGGAAGGGCAAGTCCTGTCTGACCAACCTGATCTCCTTTTATGATCAGGTAACCCTCCCAGTGGATGAGGGGATGGCTGTGGATGTGGTCTCTCTGGACTTCAGCAAAGTCTTTGGCACCATCTCCCACAGATACTCCTGGAAAATCTGGTAGCCCATGGCTTGGACAGGGGCACTCTCTCCCGGCTGGAGGGCTGGGCCCAGAGAGTGCTGGTGAACGGGGCTACATCCAGTTGGCGAGCCGGTCACCAGTGGTGTCCCCCAGGGATCAGTGCTGGGCCCAGTCCTGTTTAACATCTTTATTGATGATCTGGATGAGGGGATTGAGTGCACCATTAGCAAATTTGCAGATGACACCAAGTTGGGGGGGAGTGTTGATCTGCTGGAAGGCAGGAGGGCTCTGCAGAGGGACCTGGACAAGCTGGAAAGTTGGTCTGATTCCAACAGGATGAGGTTCAACAAGGCCAAGTGCCGGGTCCTGCACTTTGGCCACAACAACCCCCTGCAGCACTACAGGCATTGGTGGTAGAGTGGCTGGAGAGCAACCAGGTGGAAAGGGACCTGTAAGTTCAGATTGACAGGAAGCTGAACATGAGCCAGAGTGTGCCTGGGTGGCCAAGAAGGCCAATGGCATCCTGGCCTGGATCAGGAACAGTGTGGCCAGCAGGAGCAGGGAAGTGATCCTTCCCCTGTACTCAGCACTGGTGAGGCCACACCTGGAGTGCTGTGTCCAGTTCTGGGCCCCTCAGTTCAGGAAAGACATTGAGGGGCTGGAGCAGGTCCAGAGAAGAGCAACCAGGCTGGTGAAGGGACTTGAACACAAGTCCTATAAAGAGAGGCTGAGGGAACTGGTGGTGTTTAGCCTGGAGAAGAGGAGGCTCAGGGGTGACCTCATCACTCTCTACAACTCCCTGAGAGGAGGTTGTAGCCAGGTGGAGGTTTGGTCTCTTCTCCCAGGCAACTAGCAGTAGGGCAAGAGAGCACAGTCTTAAGCTCTGCCAGGGGTGGTTTAAGTTGGATATTAGGAATTTTTTACAGAGAGAGTAATCAGGCATTGGAATGGGTTGCCCAGGAAGGTGGTGGAGTCACCGTCCCTGGAGGTGTTTAAGAAGAGACTGGATGTGGCTCTTAGTGCCATGGTCTAGTTACCACAGCAGTGTTGGATCAAGAGTCTGACTTGATGATCTCAGAGGTTTTTTCAACCCAGTTAATTCTATGATTCTATGATTAATCAGATTTTTCAACCCAGTTAATTCTATGATTCTATGATTAATCAGATATGTCTTCAGGAAGGGGATATATGAAAAGGAAAATAACTTGAACATGAGCAATAGAATCTCAGTTATTTACCCTGCCAAAACTGTCTTTCTTCCACTTATTTTGTCCTTCCACAGATATTTTTCAATTAACCAAACAAGTTTCTTTTGGCATTACCAAATTCATCGTCTCCCTCTGACAGCTATTACATATCTAAGAACTGTGGAAAGAATCTTTGAGAAAGAAGCTGCCTCTCAGTGTTGTGTGATTGACAAACAAATTCCGCTCCATCTCTGGTTATCAATTTAACTGTTGAAAAAAAAAATCTAATTTCCAATCCCAAATCCCCCCAGTGTGAGAAAGGAAGAATCATAGTATATGAGATTCTAAACAAACCATTGTAAAGATATCATTGTGTTTAAGCTGGTGAACAAGAACACTCAATTTGTATGTGTTTATATGTGGATGTATTCATTTCAACAGACATGCATAAAGCCAAATTAAGAAAGAAAAGAGTCCATGCATTTTTTTCCCTAGACTCCCAATTTCTTGCTCTTGCTACATAACATTGTAGTCAGGTAAGGATTGAAGATCTGGTGTTTCTTCTGTGATGCAGCACACAATTGCTCTAGTTAATCTAAAGTCAGTTCTGAATTTTGGATGAATTCTTCACACAAAACTGCTAAGGGCACAACACCATCCCAACTGCTGTGCCAAAGAGGAAACCAAAGTACTAACTGAAATTTTTTTCCCTGTGTAGCAGATGAGTCTTGCTGGATCTCCAGCATAGGAGGTGCATGTAGAGGGTGTATCTCTGGAGGCAATGACATTTGCTGCATTCCCTGTTAGTCTGCACCAGTGGTATTGGAGTTAAGACAGACCTTGGAGTGATTAAAACTCATACATTTGAAATTAATTTTTCAAAAGAGGTTTAAAATAGCCCCTTAGAAACTCTCCAGGTGGTAAGATACTCTGTTGAGCTAGCATGGTCTCATTCTGAATTTATACAGTCTCCCCCGTACATTTTGAAATCTGCTCAGAACTTTCTTCAGTCTTTCTTTAAGGACCTTTCTAAATTCTTCCCTGTAATTAGGGCCGCTCAGGTAACAGATATAATCTACCTCTAACATTTCTTGTTCCATTATTCTTTGGATCCCAGAGGATGCACTGGTTACCCACCCCAGTAGTCCTTCACAGCTGATATTAACTTCATAGTCCTCACAACTTCTCGCAATACCTTCACTGTGTGAAAGGCAAACACAGACTCCTAAAAATAATCCTGAGTCTGTAGTTTTCTCTGGTGCTTTTTCAGAGGCTGCAGCACTATGTGTGTCACAGGTCTGGCTCTACTGAATACAGAAATAGCATCAGCACCTAGAGCTGGCCCCACAGCTCCTACTTTCTACCCAATGTATGTCTGTACTAAATGTCTCCATCTGACACCACACTTGTGCTCTCCACTGCAGTCTTAACTTTCTTCATATGGAACAAATTTCTTCTACTGCAAATAACTCCAAAACTAAAGAAATACATTCATAAGCTGCAGTGGCAGAAAGCATGGCAGGGACTACATGCCTTTGGTAATAAATGCACTCCTTTTATGCCTATTCTTAGCTGAGGAAAAAAAATCTACTTTTTCCCCTCAATAATTGCAGATGCTTATACTTCTAGAAACACAGAGAAAGGTGCATATGAATGCTGTTCTGTAGGCATAAGTCTATTCCTTTAACTAATGAAAACCTTAAATAAGGTTCACTGAAACATAGGACTAGGATCTTCCTTGCATCCTGGTCCTTGATACCACAGACATTGGTATCCTAGAACTAGTTTAACAAGTATATTTGGTTTACCTTCAAAGTTAGGTCTTTTTAACTGCAATGACTTCTCTGGAAGAACCAGGATAATGCTTAGAAACCTCATAATTTCAGATCTAAATGCATCTATAATATTTTTATGTCTATTTCTTCTTATGCCAACATTGTCTTTTAATTAAAAAAGTTATTTCCCTTCACTGTGTTTACACACTTGATATATTAATAGATTGCAATCATAGCCTCCTAGATACTTCAATCTACTTAGATAAACAAGCCTTCTGCAGTGTCCTTTCCATAAAGATGGGTTCTCTGTTTTTCTAGTCTTCTTAGCCTCTGTGTGCACCTGATGCAGTTACAGATCATTGCTTCTGGACACAGGTGAGAAGGATCACCTCCATTGTAAAGCCTTGCAATACCAAAATGCAATGTCAATAGCCCTTCTCTGTCTCTACTGCCTATCCCTGTAGTAGTCCAGAAGTCTTCAGTATTGATGGAGCTTTTGACTTTGCACCAGTAAACTTAAAATACCTCCAACACAATTCTGATGTTCAATCAAGAAAATATTATCAAAGCTTGACTTGAAAGTTCTTGAGCCTAACTAGTAACATTTCAGCCTTATACTTCAACCTGCCCCTTTCAGCACTACCTGTTCCAGACTTTGCTCACCTGTTTTCCTCACTTCCTACCTTCCTTACACTTTCTCCAATAAATCCCATTTTCTCAATTTTCCTTGAGTTTTCCCAAGTGGCACTTCCTCAGGCCCACTGATGTAAATCAAACTGACAAAGTGTACTTCCTCTGTCAGTCCCACGAGACTTTGTTTTGATTTGTTCTGATTGCACTGTGTCTAATTTTCTCTTTGTTTTTGAAATTTTTTCATCTGTTCTTTCAAAAGTATCATATTCACTTGAGATGAGGTTCCAAGGCCTGCAACAATTTTAATCACATTCTCAGTCTTTTACAACACTAGTTCATACCCCAATATTGTTCTTCTCATCTGATTGCAGGTCTACTGAAAAATCTTTCTTGCAAGGTTTTAACTGGAGATTTCTTTGCTAGTTCTTTGATATTATTTGATTTCCCCCAGCTTGAATGCAATAACATTTTTCAAGTGTTATTCCATGTCTCAGTTGAAGCTATTTATGTTTCAATAATCTTATTAACGTTTTCCATCCTTTTGCTCTCAATAAAACATCCTGTTATTTGAAACTGAATCAAAGTATTTACTTAGTTTTGAGGCTAAACAGAAAATCCCTTCCATCTAGAGGAAGCTGGGAGCTCAATACTGCAGAGAAGAGGCAGTCTAGGAATTTCCTGGAGTGTATAGAGGACAATTTCCTTCATCAACTGGTAAATGAACCTACCAGGGGTAAGGCCCCGCTAGACCTGCTGTTTACAAACAGAGAGGAGCTGGTGGGAGATATAGTGGTTGAAGGCCGCCTAGGAAATAGTGATCATGAAATAATAGAATTTTCAATACTCAGAGATTCAAGGAGAAACAACAATAAAACCTCTACGCTGGACTTTCGGAGGGCAGATTTTGACCTATTCAGAAGTCTAGTCCAGAGCATACCCTGGGAAACAACCCTTAAAAACAAGGGAGTCCAGGAGGGATGGATGTGCTTCAAACAGGAAGTTTTGAGTGCACAGGAACAGGCCGTACTGGTGTGCCAAAAGGCAAGCCGGCGGGGAAGACAACCAGCCTGGTTAAACAGGGAGATTCTGAAGGAAATCAGGGATAAAAAGAGAGTTTATCGACTATGGAAGAGAGGGCTGGCTACTTACGAAGAATTCAGGAAGACAGCTAGATCATGCAGAAAGAAAATCAGGGATACAAAAGCGCAATTTGAAGTTAAATTGGCCACTTCTGTTAGGGATAACAAAAAGTCCTTCTATAAATACATTAATAACAAAAGGAGGGGCAAAGAAAACCTCCATTCTTTGATGGACTCGGAGGGAAACATAGTTAATAGAGATGAGGAGAAGGCTGAGGTACTTAACACCTACTTTGCCTCAGTTTTTACCAGTAAGACAGGTGGCCCTCAAGGCAACTGGCCTCTGGAGCTGGTAGACAGAGAGAGGAAACCAAATAGCCCCCTGTATTCCAGGAGGAAATAGTTAGTGACTTACTGAGCCACCTGGATCCTCACAAGTCTATGGGACCAGATGGGATCCATCCTAGGGTAATGAGGGAGCTGGCAGAAGAGCTTGCCAAGCCGCTCTCCATTATCTTCCAACAGTCCTGGCTCACTGGGGAGGTCCCACATGACTGGAAGTTGGCAAATATCACCCCAATCCATAAAAAAGGCTGCAAGGCTGACCCTGGTAACTACAGGCCTGTCAGCCTGACCTCGGTGCCTGGCAGAGTTATGGAACAGATCATCCTGTGTGCAATCACACAGCAGCTACAGCATGGACAAGGAATCAGACCCAGCCAGCACGGGTTTAGGAGGGGCAGATCCTGTTTGACCAACCTGATCTCCTTTTACGATCAGGTGACTCACCTGGTGGACAAGGGGAAGGCTGTGGATGTGGTCTATCTGGACTTCAGCAAAGCCTTTGACACTGTCTCCCATAAGATACTCCTGGAAAAGCTGGCAGCCCATGGCTTGGACAGGGGCACTCTGTGCTGGGTTAGGAACTAGTTGGAGGGCCGGGCCCAAAGAGTGCTGGTGAACGGGGCTGCATCCAGCTGGCGGCCGGTCACCAGTGGTGTCCCCCAGGGATCAGTGCTGGGCCCAGTCCTGTTTAACATCTTTATCGATGACCTAGATGAGGGGATTGAGTCCATCATCAGCAAATTTGCTGATGACACCAAGTTGGGAGGGAGTGTCAACCTACCAGAAGGCAGGAGGGCTCTGCAGAGGGACCTGGATAGACTGGAGAGTTGGGCTGACTCCAATGGGATGAAGTTCAACAAGGCCAAGTGCCGGGTCCTGCACTTTGGCCACAACAACCCCTGCAGCGCTACAGGCTGGGGACAGAGTGGCTGGAGAGCAGCCAGGTGGAAAGGGACCTGGGGGTGCTGATTGACAGGAAGCTGAACATGAGCCAGCAGTGTGCCCAGGTGGCCAAGAAGGCCAATGGCATCCTGGCCTGCATCCAAGAACAGTGTGGCCAGCAGGAGCAGGGCAGTGATCCTTCCCCTGTACTCTGCGTTGGTGAGGCCGCACCTTGAGTATTGTGTTCAGCTCTGGGCCCCTCAGTTCAGGAAGGATATTGAGGTGCTGGAGCGGGTCCAGAGAAGAGCAACCAGGCTGGTGAAGGGACTTGAGCACAAGTCCTATGAGGAGAGGCTGAGGGAGCTGGGATTGTTTAGTCTAGAGAAGAGAAGGCTTAGAGGTGACCTCATCACTCTCTTCAACTACCTGAAGGGAAGTTATAGCCAGGTGGGGGTTGGTCTCTTCTCCCAGGCAACCAACAACAGGACAAGGGGACATGGGCTCAAGCTCTGCCAGGGGAAGTTTAGGTTAGATGTTAGGAAGAAATTCTTTACAGAGAGGGTGATCAGGCATTGGAATGGCCTGCCCAGAGAGGTGGTGGATTCACCATCCCTGGAGGTTTTTAAAAAGAGATTGGACATGGCCCTTAGTGCCATGATATAGTAATTAGAGTTGGATCAGGGGTTGGACTTGATGATCTTGGAGGTCTTTTCCAACCCAATCTATTCTATGATTCTATGATTCTATAAGAAGGTCTAGCAGATTTACTTCTTCTTTAGTTCTTTGTCATTTGTCTTTCTATTCTCTGCAAGGTCTACTTCATGTTGAGTCTCTGCTTATTGCTGACATCCCTCTTGAAATGACTATTCATCCAATTAGCTCTGAAGTCCTTTCCCATCATTTTTTCCCAATTGGTTTGAGACAAATTTTAATAACATCAGCACTTTGGGTTTGATGTTAAGGGCCATGAGACTTCATTTTACCTGAATTCACTATCCAGTTCCCACGTTTATTAAGGTTTTCCCTCTTACTTAGCTACAGGTCTGTTTATATTTAGCCTTACATTTACCTAAAGCTGAATTGACTTGTGATCACTAAACTAAGTTTTCTTTCTGTTTTCCTTATCACTAACCAAAAATGAAGCCTAAAGCGGTATCATCTTTTTTAGCAGTGACACTTTGGTGGAAGAAATTGTTTTCTTGTATGTAACATGGAATATCTGTATCATACAGTACTTATGACTGCTTATTTAGCAATTTCTACGTTTTTGTTGTCTTCTGCAAAGCTGTTGCAACCTCTGTTTCATCTCACATCTGTATCATGTTCTTGCTTCTGACAGAAATCACCACTGTTGTGTTGCATCAGGATTAACACTACAGCAGAGGCGAGTGGATACTGTGCTTCAGTAAGAAAATCTTATTAAAATGTAAGCACATGTTTAATTTACAAACGTAACCAGTAATGTTTTTTAAAAGATTCCCACTTCCGTTGCATACAAACAACTGAGATCCTCTTCAGCTTTCTCAACTGTATCAGTCTTAGATATTGTAAGATTATGGGGGACTATGTGATGATCATATTGTTCCCCCTTCACCTACAATATAAGGTGCTGAAATTTGATCCACTGAACTCTGTCCCAGGATGTTTCCTGTTTAACAACAGAATATCTTTAAGTAATCTGAAAATTCTGGATGTGAAGGTGGAGAATCTATCACTTCCCATAGTGGTTTGGATTTGCATATTTTTAATTTGCATTTTTAATACATGATTATACATTGGAGTTTTAAAAATCCTCAACTACTGGATATTTTCTCCCTTTTATCATAATGCCTTCATATAATATTTCAGTCTTCCTTTGGATAAATTAATTGAGCAGTCCAAAGTTCATATTTTACAGTATTTGTTCCTGCCCTTGTATTTGATTGTTTTCTTCAGTTTCCATACATCTTTTCAAAAATACGGACAGTTACTGAACATAATAATATGAGTCTTAGTGCTACTTCCATTTTTAATGCAACTTGCTCTTCTCCTATTCATTTATACCAAACAGCCTTATTAGTTGTTTTCTTTCCTGAAAGATTCATAGGAGATTAGCAAGTCATTACCATTATTGGCATGTGTGTCACAGGGGACTGCTAGAGTTGTCAGCATACCCAGATAAAAAGAGTGATGTTATTTTGGCCTTGTCCTCTGACAAAACACAAAATATCAGTCACAAATGGTGTTGATGTACTGTACCTCTCTGAGAATTATTTCCAAAATGGTGCCTGCACACTCATACCCACGTGTCATTTCACATGCACATGTACACAGACACTACTGCTGCCTTGGGGGAGGAAGGAACAGAGTGGGAAGGTAAATAGGGAGGGATTGTCTCTCTCTGTTGTGCAATCTGAGAGTAAAGTTAGAAATTAGATTAAAGAATTAGAGACTGAAGCACCTTGCTGCTTGGCTGCACTACTGACTATCATACCCTTAGGAGAGAAACATTAATGTGGTCCCTGATAGGTGACTCACCTGAATGAAGGAAAAATACTGTGACAGTAATAGCTAGTGAGTGTGAGTCAAAATTAATATTGCAGGATAAGATGTCTACTTTCTTGAATTTATAATTGCTGAGCAATGAAAATATGAGATTATAATTGTCAGATACTCTGCTTTTCCTGACTTTGTCTTGCTATAATTTTCAGTGCTTACAATTGGTTTGAAATTGAAAATTCAAGGACTGCAAAACTCAAATGTCAATGGAGTTCTAAACTGTCCAGTTACTAACACTATATAAACTGTGATTTTAAGAAAGCACTATAAAAAGAACAGCAGAATAATCCTAGCAAAAAAATCTGTCAAACGATTCTGTCTAGCAGAATATTACTTCTGGATGTACAAGTTTTCATAAGATAGAAACTTTAAAAAAACAAACAAACAAACTACTGTTTTATGAGAAGATAGCACTCTGGGCCCCTCTAACAGGTTTAACAGGGTACATTCATCCATATATGCAACAGTGTTTAAGCCATTTGCAACAGGGATTTTTTTATTGACCTCTGTTTTCTGTTTAGAAGACCAAAAGCTCCGTGACCTTTTAGTACTAAAAATATTGTATTTGCATGTTCTGGACACTACAGAGTTCTCTCCAAGGGCTTCATTTTAGTCTTTAAATGCACTTACTCAGCCTCGGGTTCTTCAGGGGGAAAGAGGTGAAGTTGACCGAAGAGTCCTTTTAAGTTTGGGTGGAATATCACTGTATCATCCAGTTAAGTGATGTGCAGCACCTTCTTCATTTTGCAGCTGTTGGAAAATCTCAGAAACAATAATGTTTTTGTCTGCTGCACTTTTCTATGTTTTCTAAGAAGCAACATGACTTACCTTATGTTTAACTGCAAAGTATAAGTGCAGTCTGTAACAAATAAATGTAAGCGGTGTAGGCTGGAGCCCTGGGACACATATTACTTATACATATCTTGTTGGTAACAGAACATAAATACTTCACTAAAGTCTCCATTTGTAATTTGTGCTGAACGTTTCTGAACATATGAAATATGAATTACATTTTGTAATGGCCCTTTGTGTTGAGGTCTAGCGGGAAAATATTGTTCTCCATGAGACAAAGTAAATTGCAATGATTCCTGAAGGGACTTGACTTTTGTACAAGAAAATACATTTAATCTGACATAGTTACTCTAATGATCTCTCATGTTATCTTTTATTGAACACAAAATGAGGTACAGCCATCAAAGTTTAGCATGCTACTGAGTGCACCATCATTAGAATACCAATATGGGGCTAAAGGGAATTTACTTAGCTCTACACACTTTTAGGGACTCACAAGTTCAGTAGAATGGTCTGTGTCACCTGGTATTTAAAGGAGGAAGGCTTGCAAAATGTGACTTTAGAAACGTGCACTTGAAAGAAGTTGGAAACAACCATTCTCTCTTCACACGTATAAGGCATCAAGGGATCTCTTAAGAAGAGAGGGCTAAGAGGGGAACTATTGCTGACTTCAGCTACTTAGTGGGACATTACAGAGAAGGCAGAGCCAGAATCGGTCAGCAAAAGAATGATGGTAACCGATTTGAGGGAAGGAAAATTCCATTTTGATATTGGGAAAACTATTTCTCAGTGAGGTGAACAAACATAAAAAGGGGTTGCCCAGGGAGGCCATGGGATTTTCTTTTTTGGGGAATGTTCCAAACTCAACCAGAAAAGGCCATATACAACATGGTCAAAGAGAGTTTCAAAGTCACTTCAAAGTCAGCCCTGCTTCAAGCAGCAGTTTGGGCCAGATGCCACCAGACATCCTTTCTGACCTACATTGCTGCATGATTCTATGGCCTTATTCTATGTTTTATCATGATTATAATATATCTAAAATGGAATACATTTATCTGTGACTGAAGAATACAAATACAGTACAGTTCCAAAGGAAGAACACAAAATTACTACTGTCTTGTATTATAAATATGACTAATAATATTTCTTTACAGTTAAAATTTTCTTCCAGCTAGTTGTATAAGACTGAATCAGCTTCAGTATATGGTTTTATTTGCTTCTTAAACTTTTAAAAATATTTGTAATGTGCAAGTGATTGTCATACACTAACTTCACTATTTTGCTATGTTTACACTATCTTTTTCTTCATCTGATCACTTTTCATAATCTCAGCACGAGATGAGACACCACTGTGGAGAAATGGCAAGTGGAGAAAGAATTGCAACATATGTAAAGGAGGCCTGCTGAGGCTACGCTTTAGGACTTTTTTTTTTTCAGTTGTGTTTGGTCTACGTTTCTCCTTTAAGAGGGATCAGATATTTTTATTTTTTAATATTCTTATTTGCAAAGTTTTACAAACAACTTTTTCTTTGTTTAACACAGAAATATCAGCTCCAACATCAGAGCAAGCTCAGAGGAAACAGCTGCACCCTGTACTTGATTTTAGCTAAACTAGCACAGAGAAGGTGTTCCTGATACTTGCAAAGGCCTCATGCAAAACCCAGAGCCCCATGTTTGATAGTATACAGTCTCCTTCTGGATTTTTGGTGCTTTGAAAAAGAATTTGGGAAAGTGCTTAGACTCTAGTGATATCCATCATAACATTTAAGACTAATCTCAGTTCAGTCATGATATTGTAATTTAGAGTCCAGCAAAGATTTGTATTTGTCTACTTTACTATGCCTTCACACATTTGAATTTATTTCATGTATGATAGTGGCAATTAAGTATTGTAACTTTGTAATGCTTGTTTTCATTCAACTTTTCATGAATGTGGGTTTGGGTTATAATTGGTTTGGGGTCTTTATTTTCATTCTAGGAGATCAGGAAATGAGTAAAGTAAAAGTTTTCAGGAACACTCATTACTTGTGCAAGACTTTGTCATATTCAGCTTAGACCTTTAGAGAAGTTCATTTAAAAGCTCGTCATATCTATTTTTCTTGGAGGAATTTTACTCATAAAATTGCTCATTAATAATTTTCTGAACTGTTCATATAAATTACAATTACAACTTTCTTTCATACTTCTTCCAAATTTCACATGTCAATGGCTTGCAGATGAGTTCTAGTTAAACAAAGGCTATAGAATTATTTATTTAATGCTCCTGCTGTCAGTACCCTGCCTGTTACTGCTGCATCTACCAACCCTGAGTTTACTACTGTGACGATGCTTGACATATTCTCACACTTTCCACCCAACCAGTAGCCTGCTTCTTTCTCCATCATGGTGCATCACTCAATGAAGGCATGCATCTGGAAGGTAGGACCATTGGCCTCTGGGACACAGAGTACTCCTGCCAGAGACTTGAGGAAGCCAGAGGCTGCTGCCTTCTGGTTTCCATGTGCCCCATCTGGCACCATCATCGGCTCTGAATCAGGAAGGAAAGATGTCAAACAAACACATGAGGTCAGCAAGGGCCATCGGAGCAGAATTTCAGCAGCCACTTGCATCTCAAAAGTTAAAAAAAATCTGGTTTGTATATGCTTTTCTCCACTTTTCCTGCACCCACTTTGTATAAGTAATGACAGTCTCTTCTTCTTTCCCTGCACATTATCTGGGCAGGCAATGTGTGTCTGCAGAAAAAATATTAGTCACAAAAGACATATGCAAGTTGCCCCTAATCAGAGTCTCATTCCACTCCCAGAGTAGGACTGTGGGCCTAAGCCATACATCTCCAAAAGTCAACATCTCCATTCCTTTCTCCTCACTCCTAATTTTCTCCCACCAGAAATTCTTTCCTCCACAAAAATCCTGGAGCTGCCTTACCCAGATTGTTTCTGGGTTTGGGCAATCTTTTTCCTGCCAGCTGCCCGTGGTACTGCGAGAGTATGGCTGCCTCACTCCGAAAAGGATCCCAGGAACAAAGACAACAGCACAGATGATGATGGAATCAGTGCTGGTGAGTGAAACAGGGAGTGAGCCCAGTTCGAAGCACTGGGTCACCCAACAGGAGTGTCTGCATGAGCTCTGTAACTATGGAGTAACATTATCTTGGCATCCTGATGGTTGCTGCCTACCTAATTTAGTGATGTGTGCTTCCGCTAAGTATTTCCCCATTATCTTAAAATTTGCAGCTCAGTAGCTACATGAACTAGAGGTGATAATTTTTTTTTATTTAGTAGCCCCTGTGAGATTTTTCCTCCATGACTTTGTCTGAAAACTTTTTGAACCAGTGCAGAATGTTGACATTTACGACATCCATCCATTTACACTATGTGGCAATTGGGTCAACAAACCTCAACATCTGCCCAGTATTTGCAATATTCATTTAAAAACGGAGTAGTAGGCCCATTTACTCCCATGGTCAGCTCAAAAAAATGTTCTCATTTTTTTTATATGTAATGAAATAAAATTGATAGTTTAATAAGTATTTAATGTTCCTTGACAACCAAAAATACTATTTAAACCCAAATGATAATTTTCTTTAACCCTAACAGCCTAACAACACAGTCAGGGCAAGGTTTGTAGAAGTAATAGAGACCAACTAATCTTGACTCACTGTTCTAATAAATGATCTTACTTATAAATCTTACCCTGTCAACTGAGCTAAGCATAATTTAAAATTTTGCAGTTTAAGTCACTGCTAGGGATGTTTTTGTATCCTCATGTCTGTGTCTTATTTTAAAACTTGATAGATTTTCTGTCAATAAAGTGTAATAGGGAAGGCAATACATAAAATAATATTTTTCTTTTACCAAGAGTAAAACAAAGCGTAACTACTTTCCAAACACACAAAAGGGAATCCAGAAAGGTTCAGGCCTTTTTCATCATAGAGAGAATGGAAATAACAAGAAACAAAAAGTTTATGATTTATCATATACCACGCAGCAAAAATCTTGCAGATCTTGAAGTGCCATCTTGCCACAGAAGGTACTCATTATCCACCAGAGAATTCACTCCTATTTCTCAGCCTGGCCTAATTCAGCAGCCCCTCTTCTTGTCTATAAAGCACATACACACTCAAATTCACTTACATGTCAGATTATGTAACTCAGATTAAGCATTAAGCACATGTCTAAATCACCTGGGACTTTAATTAGGCAACTAGTGAAAAGGGCTAGAATCCTAATGCTAGAATTAATTTTGAACAGAAAGGCTTGGAATCAAGTATTCCAGCAAGAGAGTATGAAAGAAAATTGATACCATTAAGTCCAAAATGCAATCAAAAAGCCATAATAATTAGTAATGAAATAGTTCTGCTGTTTTAAATGAAAAAAAATCAGTAATGAAATACAAGGAAAAAATAAACAATCAGTTTAAAAAGAACTATTTAATTAATGATGTAGGGTTTATACTAAGGAACTTAATTGCCAAGGAATACAGATATACTAAGAATGTATCAGTTAAGATTTTATTGCAATTTGGTTTCAGGCTAGAAACTTATAATTTTAACTATCCAGCAGTGACAAAAAAAATCCTAGTAACTGCTACAGATCTATTTCTATCAGGTAACAGAATTTGGAAAAGCTGATTAAAAGTCAGAAGTGTAACACTCAGGGGCTTTGTTTTAAAGGCAGAAGAGAAATACTGATCAAATTTTTGAGTTCATGTCTTTATTTTTAACATTATCTAGAACTCTCCCTGGGCAGATGGAGCTCGTTAGCCCTTAAAGGCAACCCATCTACGTCCTGAGGACCTCACTGCCACCGTCCAAGCTCGCTTGGCCCCGGCAGATGAACCTTAGGATTAAAGGGTGGGCTCAGTTCCGCGCACGCTGTGTCTCACCTAAAAAATCCAATGCGCAGGCTGGGAGGTGTAAAGACCTTCCCCGGATCTTCGCTCGCAAAGACTGGCCATTATATTATCTAGAACAACATTAAAAGAGAGTATCTACTGAACTTAATCATTAAATCAGCAAGTCTACATACTTTTCACATAGAATTCCAAGGCACTGCCTTGAGAGCAATAACTGACACTATTTTAATAAGTTTATTAAGAACTGAAACTGTAATGAAAGTGCTAGGAATGGAGGTGAAGTCACTGTTGTGCGGTTATTTTCAAAGGGAGGTGTAATGATGAGGCTAAAGGTCAATGGTTGGTCAATGGAGGTGTAGTAATAACATAAAGCAAATTAGATACCAAAGTAAGCAAAAAGATTCCATTTGCAAGTTAAGAACTTCTTTGGTTTGTTGTTTTTTGGGATTTTTGTTTGTTTGTTTGTTTGTTGTTTTTGGTTTTGTTTTTTAAGACACACTAAACTACTAGAAATGAAAACTTCTGATTAAATATCACAGGCACAGAACATAGTTGGGTCTCCAGCTACTTGATAATATCTAACATTTCTACAAAGATTCTTTGCTTTTCCTCCTCTGAATTCTAATAACTGATTGCATGGTAGCTGTTCTTACAAAGGGAAGGATTTGAGCTGCAAACACTTCCAGAGATGTTCTTCTTTTAAATAGGCAGAAGACAGTGCAAAGTGATACATTGGGGTGTTGTACCTGTGTTTTACTCATTTCTGCATCTGTGATGCTTATACATAAAATATGCTTTCAAAAATCATGAGATTAATACTGTTCCTTTGCAACACTTCCTCTTGTTATATTGTTTTTATTTGAGCTAAAAGAAATATTAAGCTACCTTAAAATGTAATTATATTATTCAGAAGTAATGGAAACATTTTCCTTTGTGGTGGAAAACTGAAAATACTACATAATTATTACATTACAGGCATAACAAAAGAAGGAAAACAAGTGTAAAAATTTCATCCCACTGCTGCCATTGGTACCAGGGTTGCTCTAGGCAGGCATCTTTTGTGCCTGATGAGCTGTGCCTGTAAATCCAAAAGTTTTGACCATCACTTTTCCTTACTGCTAACAGAAAGTTTAAAACAACATTACAAATATTATCAGAAGCATAATTTGTCTCAAGAAACCAGTGTGATTTTTTCAACAGAATATTTACAGTGTCTACCCACATTGCAATCAAACTAGGCTTGAGGCTCATGGGATTCAGTTCAACTGCAGGAGTGCTCAACAGAGGAAGGATTTGCTTATCCTTAGTGATAAATATGTATTCTGACCCTCTGTTGTCTAGCAAAACACGCAGAGAATGGATAACATTGCATGTAAATGCCTAATGACAAGTGCCAGGATTAATGCGACTAAGCCTGGCAGTGAGATAGACCTACTTGCTGCATATTCTGCTAATGGATCAAAAGAAGAATTGTACTTGCACAACGAGTTGCAGCAGAGGTTAATGCATCTTGTAGAGAAAGGGAAGATCCCAATCTCCTCACAACAGCTCATAGGAAAAAATCCCTCTTTGGCTCTTCCTAGGACAATTATATCTACAATCTAATTGTTGGGTTTTGCTTTAGTTCAAAATATAACATGGCTGTCTACATGGTTTGTAAGCAGTTCCTTGTTCGACAGAAATATCACTTGTTTTATTAATTGCACCTTGTAAAAATCAGTGATAACCGTACCTGTGCATGTAAAGGTACAAGAAAGTTTTATTTTACGATTTGACTTGCTTATAGTCAGCCTTCATATGCTTTGTGTGGAAAAGCTGTGGTTTGGGTTGTTTTGGTTTTGTGGGGTTTTTTAATTTTTATTTCCTAAAGACTGATTCCTCAATCTTTTACTATAAATAAATATTCAGTTCTTTTCATCCTAGATTTTTATTCCGAAGATGATTTTTATTCTGAAGAGACAACATTTTTACATTTAAAATTTATTGACCCATTCTTTGTAGGAAACACAGCCCCGCTAAGAACAAACCATTTTGAGCACCATGCCAGATCTTTCTGTCTTTTCCTACCCCTCTCAAGACAAGAGGAAGGATGTGAAAGTGTGGCATCCTGCCATGGGTCGCAGTGATCTCAGGAGGAGCAGACAGACCTGAAGGGAAAAAGAGGCCACAGGTCTGTGAGGATGGGGATGAGCTGTGCAGAAATGCAGATGTTAGCACAGATTTCAGGACATTCATTTTGAGCATGCTCGTGCCTTCTTGCTGCTCATGCTCAGTGCCCACAGCTCTGCCTCACAGCCTGTTTTGCCCACATGCCCTGTGCCATGCCAGGAATATACTGACACTCCATCCTTCATCTTTACCCATCCTGAGGGACAATCTCCCACAAAAATGGCTCTGAAAATGACCCTCTGATCTCAGCCAGAGGGAGGACTCACCTAGAAATCTGGCAGCCTCCTGGCAGGAAAGGTCTGTCTGCCTGAAGGGAGAGGATCTCGCAGGGTGCAGTGCAGGGATGCATCTCCAAACACGGACCTGCCCCCATAGGCAGTAGGTTGGCTTCATGAACCAGCCAACAGAACAAGACAGAGATGGGATGGGCAGGCTGAGGTGCCATACTCTGAGAGTCAGCTCTACATGGCCTAGACAGTTCTGGTTATGCCAATTCAATTTCTCCTCTTTGTCCCCTGAAGTACAACGTCTTTATGGCCTGATACCTCTGACTTTTCCAGATTAAAGCTACTCAGCCAATGCTGGTGTTGTCTGCTGTCTATTTGATCACTTCTGCTCTGTTCCTTTCAACTCCAGGACCACCCATGATTCGCAGCCCTCTAGTCTGACTCTTCTCTGTCATGGTATCTGGCAGTCAGTCAAGTTCACTGCTGGTGTTTGCTGGCACAAGTGTCATTCAGCATTTTCCTGTGAAAAACATCAGTGTTTCAGGAGTGCATGGGAGCTCATATGGCTCACGAAAGACCACACTGTCTTGTGGTCTGACAATGCTTTTGTATTGCTGGAGGCCTCTAACAGACAGCATCTGCCTTCTCCAGAGCTGACTCATGGCAGCCCTGCTCTCCAGAGGACTGCCATCTAGTACCTTCAGTTTCTATTGTCTACCCAGCTAGTAGAGGGGGTGGGGGAAAGAGCCCCATGTTAGGAACTGAGGTCACTAGTCACAGTATATTGTAAATAGTTCTGGCATTAGTATATTGTAAATAGTTCTGGCAGTTTGCTTTACAACTTTCCTGTACAGAGCAGAGTGCACAGAGAGTTGCGCTTCAGCAGCATTATGAAAATTAATCCTGGGAGGAGGCCCAGTGTCATTGCTCACAGTATCCTCAACAGCTACCAAATACTCAGCATTTGCAGGAATATTTTTAAGCTGCCATAACTGAATATTCCCCTTTCACAGCCATCTACATTTTGATCCGATCTCTTGCATTATATGAATGCGCACACACGTTGCTCCCCATAGGTGAGGAACGCTGTGCCAGGAGACATTCTACTCATAAGAATATCTGCAGTTTCAGACCAAAGGCCCATTTCACTTTGTGCATCTCGCTGTGGCCATGAATGGATGCTTAGAGACAAAACATTAAAGAAAAGCATGGGGTAGTATATTCCTACAGTATCTCATCCAGCTTCCAATAATTTGCAGAACAAGGCTATTTAATATCTTCTTGTACAGAAATCATTCCTTACTTCAGGTCCCCTTCCCATCACTGTTCTCTGCACATTTGCTAGTTTTATACTATGCCTTTTTTTTTTTTTTTTTATGATGAAGAGGGCCAGAACTGCACATGCTATCCCTGGGCACACCAGTGTTTCATATAATGACATGATAATGCTTTCTGTGTTGTTCTCTATTTCTGTCCCAACAGTTCCTACTGGTCTACTTGTCTTTTGATAACAGATAAGTACTGAGCAGATGTTTCCAGAAATCTTACCAAAAATCCTTTTCTCACTAATACATATTCAAAACATAAACAATAGCCCACTCCCCCTGCCAAAAAAGAATCAAGCAAAAGAGTAATTTCTGTCTAATTATAAAAGTGTAAATTTTATCTTTGCCAAAGAATAAAAGGAAAGTCTTGCCCAGTACAGTCCTTGCAATACAAACAAGTTCATATTCTTTCTGCCGTATTTTTTTCTGACCGTTCCAGGGCTGAATGAATTCATTATATCCATCTATGGACCTCTCAGTCTTGAGCATTCAAGCTGTCATTCTAAATGTTTTGTGTGCATTGTCCTCTGCATACTTCCTGCTCACGCTATGAACTTACTGAAGTGAAACAGTCCAATTAAGCCAGAAAACCTCTAAGGTTCCCTGCACGTGTATTATTAGGGGTGTGGGCATTACCTTCATACTTATGACTTTATGTTAAGAATATTCAAAACCTTTTCTTGAGAAGTCTGCACATTGCCAATGTTTGGAGGAGAACTTCTTTGCAACTGCACAATTGGGGGTAGGGAAGATGGTTTTGAAATAAATTAATGTAATTAAATCCAGTTTCCACTGGCTACAAAATACTGAAAAATTACCGGTCAGTGAACAGCTTGATGGTATCAACAAGGTAAAGATATAAATATATACATATATAAAGATATCTTGTTACTCAAAGGAGCATGACTGGGACAACAGGTAGCAGAGGTTCATCCTTGTGACTCCAGGTGACTTTAGAGGATCCCCTATCCCTTCTCTGCATTTTAGTGATGTCATGGTAAGTAGATTGAGAAGTGAACTCCATATTTCTTCCTAGAAAAATAAGACCATTCTGAACTAGAAATGCTTTCTGGAACAGGTTATTTCTCCCAGAAAGTGTCCTATTAGGACCTCCATCTACAGTACACAAAAAGGAAACAGGCAGTAGCAACTTCAGGAAAGTATTTAGAAGGAAAAAAAACCTTCTTAGTCTAAGCTTGGGCCAGGAGTTTGAAATGGTCAATATCAAAAAAAAATCTGTAAGATCTACTTGGAGGCCATAAGGAAATACTGAAGTCCCCTGAGCATGATGTTACTTCACAGAACCGTTGTCCCAATATTTACATGTTTGGCTCCAAATCAACAAAATCAAGGTGTGTGCATTAGGGGGATTTGAATTTGAAAACAAACAGAACAGTAATTCCCAGAAGGCACAGAAAGCTGGGCACTTTAGTGTTCTTTTTCTGACCTTCAGGTTGAATTTCTGCATAACTTGCTGTCATTATGTCTACCCTGCTTGTGGAAGTATGAACAAATCAGAGGAGAAGTTGGCTCAGGAGCCTTTTTGAGGCCTCAATCCAAAGCAGAAGCACAGTAGTCCAGGCTGGGACACTGTGAGAATCTCAACCTTAACTTTATACAAGTGTATTTCTATACTTCATCCTGTGGGGAAATGAACTAAATCTGCTCTCAGTTCACTCTAAAATTTCCAAAACTGGAGTGTAGATAAACTCCAGATTCTTCTTTCATCCAGCCCCTTACTTTTTTAAGGCAAAGTCATTCTTTCTAAGCAAGCTGATTCATTACTTTGGATTTCTCTTGCCAATTCCATGCCACTAAAAAAAAAAAAAACAGGTTAGGGTTTGGTAAGGAGCCTTCAGAAGCTGAGAAGAAATCTGCCCCAAAACAACAGCAGCAACAGCTTGATAAACCAAAACAGTTCCACAGAAATTAGGGAGATGGTGGGGGGCAATTACTAAGAACCACAGAATAGAACTGTAGAATATCCTGAGTTGGAAGGGACCCACAAGTATCATTGAATTCCAACTCCTGGTCCTGCACAGGACCATTCCCAAGAGTCACACCATGTACTCGAGAGTATCATCCAAACACTTCTTGAACTCTGTCAGGCTTGGTGCTGTGACCACTGCCCTGGAGAGCCTGTTCCAATATCCAGACACCCTCCGGGTGAAAAAGCTTTTTCTAACGTCCAATCTAAACCTTCCCTGACACAACTTCAGGCCATTCCCTTGGGTCCTGTCACTCGTCACCACAGAGAAGAGATCAGTGCCTGCCCCTCCTCTTCCCCTCACAAGCAAGTTGTAGGTGGTGATGAGGTCTCCCCTCAGTTTCCTCCAGGCTGAACAGACCAAGTGGCCTCAGATGCTCCTCATGTGGCTGCCCCTCAAGACCCTTCACCATCCTCATAGCCCTCCTTTGGATGCTCTCTAAGAACTTAATACCTTTCATATATTGTGGTGCTCAGTATATAATTGTTGACTTGTCCTTTTCTCCTTCTGTACCAGACTGTTTCTGAAAGTGGGATCACACAATACAGTTTTACCCATGGATATCAGGCCTTCTCAGATACCTTGAATGGACTCTGGTAAAGTATTCAGGGTGACAAATCATTGTGTCACTGTCTATAAATTCTGTTAGAGCTCTGAAATTCAAACAAAAAACTTCACATCACTAAAATGTCAATTTTTATGTTTGTGATTCAATTTGAGATCAATAATTGCTTACTGAAAGGAAACTCAGACTTCCACTCAAGAAAATGGGAAGCTTTTAATATTATCTACATTTTCTTTCATTTTGTGTTTTTTTTGGGTTTTTTTCCAAGTCATTGTTTCCATTTTTTTGACTGCCAAAATCTTCTTGTCAGAATTGGGCTACTTTTGCCAAACTTTTCACTCCCTGCTCTCCAGATCTCCTTTGCTCACTCCCACTGATGATCATCCTGTGATGAGAACAGCAAAGCAACCTACAAAGACCTACAACTGTCATCAAGTGAGACTGAGCAATGAGAGAAGCAAAATATCCAATATCTCCTTGTCATTTAGCTTCCAACAAGCAAAGAGAGTTCTTTGAAACCGTAAAAGAAGGAATGAAAAGCATACCTAGGGAAAACTTGATAGCAAGAATCCGCAGATATTTATTTTTTTTTTCTGACCTAAAGAAAGGCTTCATAGAGCATAAAATGCATGAAGCTAACTCAGGTCTTTGGAAGAGAAGGATTGATGCAGCCTAGCAGAGAGAAAAAATTGTTAAGAAAACCACACCATGATAATCCCAGTCATTTTACAGAGGACTGGACCTGAAAGATCTTAGAAGTAAAGCTGAACTTAAGGTTTCAAGACTCATGAATACATTTGGAGGCCATGTACCAACCCGTACTGAATTTGAGGGATCCTCTGTTAAATTTTTTAAGGTATGGCTTCAGAGACATTAGGGAAAGCAGCATGTTCTCACCTGTGGTATTATGAGTAAACAAATTATTTTTGATGAACTAAGCAATCTCTTAATAAGGTAGAGTGAGAGAAAATTGTCCCAACTGAATGAAATGGCAGAATTAAGCAAATTTGATGTGAAGTTTAGAAGTTTTCTGAGTCCTGAGAGGCCTTTAAGAGATTAAAGCAAATTGCTTTGGCATACAATATGCACTTTATTAAATTCAGATGACTGGAGGGAGAAAATCTGGGATTTGATATCTACATTCACCCAAAGAAATGCCTTTAAAAAGGGACAGCAGCCAGATTTAAAGGAAACAAAGTAAAACCAGGCATTCTATATATGTAAAATCCTCACGAGAAAAAAAAAAAAAAAGCCCAACACATTTTCCCTTGCATCTTTTTAGTTGGAAGCAAATTCCCTAAGCAGAGCTTGAAAATGTGAAATGGTTAAGAACTCCATTATCATTCATGCTTCAGCAACTTCATTATGTACACAGGCCCAGTCTTTCACAGGCTAAAAGAGCAATCCTGATCCATGCTGCATGCCATCTATAACGTAGCCTTGCTGAAATACCAATAACACTAACATCTGTCTTGTGCAATGTTAAAAAGGAAAAAAAAGGGGAAAGATTCCCATAGATAAAAGGCTCATGAGGATGACAAAAAAGGAAAATACAGAAACCTATGACAGACAAATTTTATTAATGGCTCGACCATATGCATCCAGGGCATAATTAACTATTCACAGGTGAAATTAGCAGATAGGAGTGTCTGTCGTGAGCAAATTGAATAGACCCTGATTATATCAATAGTTTTCAACCAGTGTCCCCTGGTTATCAAACTATCAAATAAATTTGTCCACTCTCTCCTTCTCTGGGAGGAGGGGGTTAGGAGGAAGGGAGAACTTTAATTATCCGGCCACGGTATATGGCAGGTCATTAATAAAACCTAGTTATCTGGCTGTAGGTTTTATAGTTTTACTGTTATCTATCTTTTATCTAAATAAACATTTGGAAAATGTCCTTAAAATTACTGGAGATACTTTGCCACTTCTCCACCAGATATTTGAAAATGAAACTTTGCTGGATTTTACTATACAATGCATGGCGTCACCTCAAAGACTCCCACCTTCTTCCTCCTACCACTATAATGGAATTACAGAGTTTGGCGGTACACACATTGATGGATCTAACCAACCTGCAAATGCAGATAAGGGTAAAATCACTTGATGGGTTAGTTCTCCTTAATGTATATTTACTCAGCCTTTATGTTATGTATGCATTTTTTACTTTCATGCCACATATATCAATGACAAATGTAAGAATTGAAAAGCCAGTAATAACATAAAAAACCAGCATTTTTTTGTCTGTGGCGCAATTGCCAGAGACAATATCTTTTCATTTGAATAAAGAATAGTAGGAAATTAACATTTTGGGGGTCCTGGTCTTGATTCTGTTTCAGTTTCAAGTACTTCCAATTTCTAAACTCAAATGGGCTTTTATGATACAATAGAGGATTCCGATAATAAAAGGCTTACATTTCATTTAAACTGTATTTTTTCCACAAGTATTGTAATGATGCTTCTCATAAAGAAATGTGAATGCTTATTTTATATACATTTATACAAGTTCAGTATGGAAGTGTCCCATGCAGAAATGTTTATTTTAAGGAAAACCAACTCATAGATACATTTCCCCATCTGACAGTTTTCAGTATCGTCTCTTCTGTCTGCAGGATATAGCACATATTTACTTGTTTTTAATATTATCTATTTTCTTTTCCTATTGACCTTCAGAAATGTGAAAATCATAGCATTCCATTAATTAAGACTTCGTTATCCAGTAACTTAAATGGGGATATATTCTAATCTGGTTTTTTCGTTGGTTTTTGTGGTTGTTTTTTTTTTTTTTTTTGCATATATGATCTTTCATAGTTCTGGGAACATTTTTCTATGGCTTTTAAGTTAAAAAAAAAAAAAGAAAAAAGAATTTAAATCAAGTGGCAGGTTGGTGAAAGCAACTTAATTCCCATTTTCAAAAACTATAAGCCTCAAGCATATATTGCAGGTTTCATTAGTAGCATTATTAATTCTGATGAATACTTGCTATGTGACCTGAAGCAAAATGACATAGGGCACACTGCTGGGATGGGAAATAAAAGGAAAGCTGTTGTACTGAAGTTCCTTTAGAAGTAAATTAGGATTACAGAAAACCCCTATGTTAATGCTGTACTAGATAGAAGAGGAAAAAAGGTAGTGAGACCTTTTTATGATTTTACAATTGCACCACTTCAATTTCTTTCAATACAATACAATTACTCCAGATTTAAAGAGTAAAACCATTGACAGAAGAGTGAAAAGTCTCTGTTCCTGATAGATCTCTGTACTAGCCAGAGCTTGTGTTCACAGCAAGCCCAAACAGCCTTGGTAAGACCAGAAGAGGAGTTCTAGTTGGAGGAGTAAACCTCCTCTTTTGGAGTGGAACTTTGAAGAGGGTTTATATACTTCTTCCAGGTGACACACGAAGATTTATGTCTAACATCTAAACTACAGACAAATGAAAGCTTTAATTACAATTACATTAATGTAGTTTCATTGAAGTCAAAGAAACTATCACCTTGTCAAAGATCTAACCATTTTGCAATTTTTTATCTACATAGTTTAGAAATGCAGAAATTTGGAAAAGTACATGACTGTCACAAAAAAAAAAGGAAAGAGTATCCATCAGGAAAATAATAATGCATTATTTGCAATTTCTAGAGAATAAGTTTCTGGTCAGGTGTAGTAATCCTGTGATTCTTTGTTGGCTGAGGTAAATTAATCACATCCCTTTAACTTTGTAAAAGATATAAATCCAAAACATCTATTTCAACAGTGATTTTATCAGGGAATTCACCTTTATATCAGTTTTGCTAATTATATATTGACATTACTTTTATATTTTCTGTATTAACTGTATAATATAAGTAAAGATTCTCTTCCTTTGCAATTATGGTTGCTCCATTTTCCCTACACTGAGCTTTGGTGGTGATATAATTAAAAAATGGTGCTTTGCACAGGCAGTATTGCACATGGTGAAAAATGGTAGCTATTTCCACACTTCACAGATCCAGCTGCTATGAGCATTAAAAATTACTTAAAACACAAATTTATCGCATCGTGATTACAATGGATTGTGTTGTTATATATTAATTGAATTGTAAATTGCTGTTTTAAATTAAAACACAGCTTATTAGGAATGGCAAGAGAATAATAAGGGATGAAGTAATGTTTCATGTAATTGCCAAAATAAAATAAAAAATCTGAAGAGAGAGAGAGAGAGAAAAAAGTATGTTCCAGACAACTACCTCTTTTGAAAAATTGCCCTAGAGCTATTGATGGACTGTAGGTTTCAGTGTCTTCAGTGAATAACAGCCTTTAGTCTCACAGCTTAAGGAACTTTTTGTAGCAAAATAATAATATTAGCAATGATAGTAAGCCTGCAGAAAAACTATCTGCAGATAAAACACCATTTTTACAAACATTATTTATAAGTTCCATCTCTGTAAGAAAACAGAATGACTGCTTGGCAGATACAACTGTGTAGGCAGTCAGGAAGGTTATAGGGAAGTCGAGAGGAAATACCAGTAGATTTAAAAGAAAACACTTTCAGGATGACATATCCTCAGCAAGTGATGTCGTCCAAGAAGAGGATGACAAAAAAAGAGCATAAAAAGAACAGCGAAGCTGGTGAAGGAGCTGGAGCACAAGTCTTATGAGAAATGGCTGAGGGAGCCTGGAGCACAGGAGGCTTAGGGGAGACCTTATCACTCCCTACAACAATCCAAAAATTTGTAGCAACATGGGGGTCAGCTTCTTCTTCCAAGTAACACATGATAGAACAAAAGAAAATTAAATCAAACATGAGAAAATGAGCTCAAATTACACCAGGAGAGGTTTAGATTGGATATCAGGAAAATTTCTTCACTGAAAGGATTATCAAGCACTGGAACAGGCTACCAGGTTAAGTGGTTGAGTTACCATCCGAAGGCAAAGTCATGAAATATATAATCAGTTATCATATACCTAAGGGTTTGAATCCCATGTTTTTCAAAAAATCA